GCAGTACCAAAAACACCACTAGAGGTCTTTGTAAGATCATCTTTTTATTTTTATTTAAATCCTTGTATTTTTTTGTGCCTACTCGTTTCTTTAATATCTTATTTTGCACAGTGCCGTATTTATATTGTATTTTTAAGTTAATGTCACTTGTTTACACTTTTTATTTTGGGAGTATTAATAGGTACTTTATGTAAGCTATTTATATTGTATTTCATATGTTCAGTTCATTTTTTTGTATTTGTTTCTTTAATTCTTTCTAAGTATTTTGAATGTGCAATTGCTTTATTTAAATAAAAGAATGTCCAAGACAAAGCTATTACGTTTCTTATGAGTATATACACTAGCAGTGGAATTTACTGAGATGCAACAGGGCGTCACCTGAAATCTTGCCTAGGGTGCCAAATTGGTTAGGGGCGGGCCTGCTGAGGCTGGATCCAAAAGGGAGTCAACCCCCATAGATTCACATGTTAAAAAAGTGCAAATAAACATTCACAGCCATGTACAAAAACAATTTTGGTCTCTATACAGTTGCTAATGTCCCCTTCCATGACAACTGTAGGGAGGCTGAATTCTTAGATACTGTAACTCGCATGTTTAAATTTTACTGAGGCTAAACGTTATGCATAATTAAAGTAATGGCTGCTTTGAGTGACAGGGGGTTTGCCATGGGGGGGTTAGCCGCTAGCCATCTAATGAGCTCCACTCTTGCTCCGCCTCTTTGCCCATTTTTGGATTTGTGGTAGTAGGGGGAGTGAAGCACTACCAAGATGGTGACGGCCGTTCTTCAGAAAACCAACATTTGACGTCACAGTGGGTTTATACATCTTTTATATATGGTCAGTGGCTGAAAGGTGCTAATAAGGTGTTTAAGGGAGAGGAACTACAGAGATGGGTTAGGATTCCAGTTAGTTTGCTTCTAAAATTGGCTTACTTGACATTACACACAGTCACTTGATCCACTGTTAATATAAATTAATAGATTAATGCAGTTTTAAATATGATCCTAAATGCAGACTAACAGAAGGAGAAAACCCCCACATTTTTCATGTGATTTAACTTCCGGTTAAAATCCATATCATTCCTACATTACTGGTGAGCCACTTCTTGTTCTTTTTTTTAAGATGGCTGCGCTCTCCTCCCCAACTCCTGCAGAAAACACGTGGGCGCCTGCCCCTTGATATTGCACTAGTGTCTACGTCTAGCTGTGTGACAGGCTTTTTATTCAGATGGCTGCTGCTAGCGCTGTTTTGAGAGCAACAAGATCGACATGCCATACAAAGGGGTTCACAAACAAGTCATCTCTGAAATCCTGCAGAGAAGCACTCATCAATTAGCCTGGTCTTAGATGATAACATAGCTGCTTTCACTAGCTGCTACATCACACTCCATTTAATTTACAAGAGGCGGCACACACTGTCTCTGTGAAAACAGTATAATGAAAGCAACAAGGATTCGTCCTGTCAACGTGTCATATTATTTTAGGCATTACCATAGTAGAACTTTAAATATTAAATGCAACACAGACTTGTATGCTGTATCCATGAGAAATCATTTACAGCCGTCAGTCTATATGCATTTAATGAATTCCCAGGCCTTTAAAGGAACATGCCACTTAGAAGAGCTCTTAAACAAAATAAGAATAGTCAGTTTTAACTCACAGCCTCAGAGCAGGTGAGTTTCCCAACAGGGAAAGGCAGGTTTTGAGATCTACTTATATCGGACTTGAAAGTTCTAAGATCAAATTCCTCTGAGCCACATAGGCCTGTGAAGGGAATACTGAAATGGACATAGAAGCCTCTTTTCCCCCCTCTACAAATCAAGTAGAGTGTGTGATTCTGCTGTTTCTCCACACAAATAGATCCATCTGACATGACAGACCTTAAACCCTGAGGGCCCACTTAACTCACAGCCACATTAATTGAATCTGGCCCTTGTGAAAGTACAAGGGAAACCCTACATCATGCAATTTGGTGTAGAAAATGGCAGATTTGGAGCAAAAGAGAATGCATGTCATGGGCTGAGATTTGATGTGCCTTGAAGCTGATGAAGTGGAGGACTGTGATGTATGCTCCTCAGATCACTGGGTTGAATCAGTTGAGATTCATCAAAAAACACAGCTTTATGGGACAATTCTCACAGCTAGCTGGTTACATCTCATTGTTTCCGCCATCTATCTCTCCTATCCATTCCTGCAGCCTGCTGCAGATAATGGACGATTTCGGACCGTATTTCTTGTATTTGTGTTCCTTCAGGGATCTCCATGGAGATAAAGTTGACCTCTTGGTATGTAATCATCCTCCTCCACTCCGCAGGTGAGGGAGGTAAGGGCAAGGATCTCAGAGAACATGGCGAGAGCATGTAAACACACACACACATACACGCAGAAAGAAAAAATACACAAAAAGAAAACACACAAGTCTCTGCAAACACATTCCTTCCATTCACCTCAATATAACCCCTGTGTTTACTCCCTAGAAAAACATTTTCACTCTGTCTCACTCTGTGTGAGGATTAATTCACTGGATAGAGGCTGATAATACAAACCTACAGAAATCTGGGACTCCTCCTTTTACAAATGTCAGATAAAGTCATCATCATCATTTTATTACACAAAGCCGATTACTTCTCCAGCCAGGCGGGTATGGGGATAGAAGTAAGGATCGGGTGGAGAGCCCTGACACAAATTGGATTTCCGCTCTCCTACATTCTTAAATATAGACTTATTATCCATTAACACACTAGTATTCCTAGCTAGTTGCAACATGGGGATTTAGTATAATGAACAGAAATCATGCAGTATATGAAAATGTGCAATTTACTTTCTGGGGCTTTGTTGAAGTTGGAGCAAAAAAATGTAAATGAGAAAAGAGGTTGTAACAAATATGCATGTAGCAGAGAGAGGATTACAGAAGAAGTCCTTGGAGATAATTAACAGACTTACTCTCCTCCACCTCAGGGTGGTGGAGACAACACAACCTGTGATTCCCAGAGAAGATAATGCAAAGGAATGCTCTTAGAAGTAATAAAACTTTCCATCAGCACCAGAGACTCCCCAAGTTTGTGGTTCTAAGAAGTAATAAAACTTTCCATCAGCACCAAGTTTGTGGTTCTAAAACCTGAAACTGCACTATTTTCAGTGAATGAAATAGACATTGCATTCATTTATGTGCTTACATGCTAATCTCTGGGCTCTAAGTAACTGGCTGCAGACTAAAAGGTCATTTGTTATTTCAGTCCAACATCAAGCTCAACTCAAAGGGACACCTGCAGAGAACTCCTGAGGAGCTGTTTTACAACTTGTGTCAGATTTGAGTCCTAACAGATCTAATAGCCTTCCTTGTCACAGACAACGCTTATTTTGGGACAGTGATTTCAAATTCCATATGTACTAAATGCTTAGATCTTATGTAACTTGTGTAATAACGACCACTGATGAATTTCATGATGTTCAGTCCAACTTTGATTCCTTGGGGACTGATGTTTTCTGAGATTAAAAACAACAACTAGACTTTTAACCATGACTTTTTATGATTCTTTCTGTTAGAATTTGCACTCTTATAAGACTATAATGTTTAAACCAAGACGTATTGATGACCCATTAAATGTTAGGAAAGTGATCTTGAATGATTAGAGATTTTAGATATTTCAGATGTGTGTAATAATGTATGTTTGTTATCATATCATTTATATGATTGTTAACTTTATTACTCTTACATTCCTAACTAATGAGTGGAGCATAGTAAAATGGGCAGATGATGCCTGCCAAGTCCAAATTATCATATCCGCACCCATCAAATCACACTGCTCAGTCTAACGTGCAGCAGTCTGGATCCATACAGCCTATCTGACATCCAGCCAGACCAGGGAAAACCCGACAAGAGCCCATCCAAACTTCAAGCCTACTGTCAATAGCCAGCCATCTTCTGGGCCTGACAGAGCAGGACTTCCGGAGCCTGGAGTTTTTAAAGTACTGTGGAGCGCATCAGATATCAGCCCTGGGTATATACAACTAACCACAGTAGGCAAAGCTTGCCTTGTACTTGTACATGAGTAATGACAATAGTTGAATGTAATCTAATCCAATCTTTGTTCTACCTAACTCTATGGATAAAGGCTGATGTGTCCGGGATAGATCTTAATTTATTCAACTTAATTTTTCCTAAATTTCAGCTGAATCTGTTCCCAGCAGATAATGGAATTTTTCGGGTTTCAACCATCACCATTCCCATTCAACCTACAGTTAGACCTCTGTCACTATATCATGTCTTTACATTTTGTCCCCATCATCTTATATTCTTGTGATTTAGTCAATAATTTGAGTAGTGTAGTAACATATTCATGTAGTTGTAGATTAACAAAATTCATAAAACCCAAGGTCATGTCTATTTTGTTGAGAGAGTAGCAGTCAATGTTTTAGAAAATTCATTCCTTCATTGGTTCAGAGACTGACTTCTTAAATTGGTTTATTAAACTGATGTGTTAATTAAGTGTAATTATTCTACTTCAAAACTAAGTACTTCATATTCAAAAATGCCTCAAGGTGCAAGCAATGTTTTCTTCTTTTTGCACTCAGTGTACTATTGTTGCAGTCCACTGTAGTGGATGGAAACCTAGCTACTGAGTGAGTTGTATCTTTTTTTGCCACCAATGTAGAAGAATGATTAGCATTTGACCATGACATTCAAGTTCAAGTATAAGTACTTTTATTGGCTTAGGCTGTTATTAAATGCATTTTAAATATAGAACAAAATTGTTTAATGCTCTAAACAAGTCATAGCTACTTTGCAGTGTGTATGTGTGTATGCACATGTGCATGCTTGCATGGCTTAACTGTGTGAAACTACATACACCAATCATCTATAATATTAAAACCACCTGCCTAATATTGTGTAGGTCCCCTGGGTGCCACATACACAGCTCTAATCCACTGAGGTGTGGACTCCACAAAACCTCTGAGGGTATCCTCTGGTATCTGATGCCAAGCCGTCAGCAGCAGATCCTGTAAATCCTGCAAGTTTCAAGGTGAGGCCTCCATGGATCGGACTTGGTTTTCCAGCACAGCCCACTGATGATCAATTGGATTGTGACCTGGGGAATGTAAAGACCAAGACAGCAACTTGAGCTGTTTGTTATGTCCCTCAAACCATTTGTAAACTATTTTTGGAGAGTGGGAGGTTGCAATATTTTGCTGAAAGAGAACTTTGCTATCAAGGAATACTGTTGCCATGAAGGGGTACACTTGGTCTGTAGCAATGTTTAGCTGAACGCCAGGGCCCAAGTTTTCCCAGCAGAACATTGCCCAGAGAATCACACTGCCCCTGCCTGCTTTCCTTCTTTCATTGCGCATCTGGCCATCTCTTCCCCACACAAAGGGCCATCCACATAATGTAAAAGAAAACGTGATTCATCAGACCAGGCCACCCTCTTCCATTGCTCCCTGGTACATTTTTGACACTCGCATGACCATTTTAAGTGCTTTTTTTCAATGCGCAGGGGTCAGCATGGGCACTCCGACTCTTCTGATGCTATGCAGCCCCATAGACACTGAGCTGTGATGTATTGTGTGCTCATATGCCTGTTTATTATAGCCAGCATTATGTTTATTTTAGCAATTAGTGCTACAGTAGCTCTTCAGTGGGATCGGACCAGAGGGGCTAACCTTCACTATCTATCAGGGAGCCTTAGAAACCTGTGACCCTGTCACCAGTTTACCTGTTGTCTGTTTTTGGACCACGGTTGGTACTGTAGATACTGACCATTTCATACTTGGAACAGCCCAAAAGACCTATTGTCTTGGTGATACTCTGACCAAGTTGTTTACAATTTGACCCTTGTTGAAGTCACTCAGATTTTTACCCATGCTCTTTTTTTTTTTTTTGGAATTTGCATTAACACGTTATCACATTAACACTGACTGTCACGTCCGTGACCCGGGCCACCCCCTGTACTTCGGTGGCAGGCACAGGCAGTTCCAGCAGCTCCGCCCCCGCATAGGTGAGGGTGTGTTCCAGGCGACGAGGCACACCTGCTCTCAATCATCGGAGCAGTACATAGGGTCGGCGTTGGTGCGTCCTCGTCGCCAGATTATCCTATGTTGTCCTGCTAGTAAAGCCAGTTCGTGTTCATGTCAAAAACTCAGGGTTATGGATTCTTTGATCTGTGCTCTTCACTGAACGCTGTGAACAGTAATTACGCACAGTACTGTTGCATCGGTTTTTTGCCCTTCTCATGCTTTAAAGGGTTTCTTTGGTTTGGACTGTTTTTCTGGGGACTTTACATTTCCCGTTCTGGGTCGGCTTGCCTCATCGGGGAACCCACACACCGGACCCGGGATCTCTGGCACCAGTCTCCCCCTCCCTGGACTCCTCCCTGGGCCTGCGGCACGCTCAGCTATTCAGGTCCCCAGAGTGACTACCAGAAACAGTCTGTACCATACACACCTGCTGCGTGTTCTTAAACTCTCACTCTTTGTTCTTACTTAGCGAGTTACGCCTCTCATACACCCCGGGAAACAGTGGTCCAGTCAACCCAGTGTGCCCAGCTGCCCCGAGATCAGCGGAAGAGACCAGCTCTGTTTTGTTTTTTTGTTTTTTTCTGCGACGCATTAAAGATGTTTTTCTTAGTCTATCCTGGGTTCGAGTCTGCATCATTACTGGGTCCAAAACCACTCAACACACGGTTTACCGTAACATTGACAGCCCCAGTATTTACGCCTTCATTTGTGTGTGTGTGCATATCACAGTGCCCGAATATGTGACTCTTCCCATATCTCCAAGGGGATGTGCATGCACTGAGGGTCAGAGTTGTTTCTCTCCCTAGCTGGTTGCTGTTGGCAGGATTAGCGACAGGACAAGATGTTCAGCGAAAGCCCTCAATTAACTACGCCAAAAACTCCATAATGCTCCATTTAGCACAGCACAAGTTTGAGGATTTACTGTCAGACCTCTGACCTATCTGTAGGCCCTTTCTGGATAGATCAACCTACAATGCCTTTTAGCAGATGGATAATATGTGTGGTGATTTTCCTTGGCTTAGCAGCTAAAATATGTTTGTGTGTTGCCTGTGAGCTGTTGTTTCTGTTTATATCACAGATGACTGACAAAAGCAGTGGTGGTTTGTTTTATAATTTCAACAGCTGCTATGTATAGTCGGTTAATGCAGTATCTTCGCTTTACGCAGCAAGGCAGAAACACACCAGTGCTGCTTGATAACAGCATAGTGCAGTATGTACGTGTACAACCTTTGACTCCTCCAGCTGTGAAAAAATGTAACATATGTCATTCATCATTAAACATGAATCACAGGTGTGTGAGGAGTGAGACTTGGAGGGAGACTTTTCACTTTCAATCACCTGATAGTCAAAACTAATGTCTGACTTCTCCCGGTCTCAGCAGTGCTGTGCAAAGTGATAGGCAGAGAGAAAAAGTCTAGTTGAGCAATAATTCAAAACTGTATCCTCGGGCTATCTGAGGACTGTGCAAACACTAGGGCCTATCAGGCTCAGTAGAGTCAACACTGAAGCACGTTAGAGGAAAAAGATGATTCTATGTATTTCCTGGCAGAGAGCAGACATAATTCTCTCATAAAAAGGCTTTGTGAATGTGAAAATGTCTTAGGAGACAGACTAAGAATAGTTCATGTATTGTAGAACCTGTGTTTTTGTGTGCAAAAGATATTGTTATTGTGGTCTTAATGTTCTGCCGTGATTTGCTTTTACTGTACATTTTTGTGCCTTCCTTTCTCCTCACTCTTCTCTTTCTCCACACTAGCCTTTCCCCTCGTCTCTCTTTCTTAGAACTTTTATGTGTGTGTGTCACTCTGGTTTCTTGTCCTGCCAAGTTCTCCTCCCTACACTTTATTCTATCCCTGAGTACCTGGCTTTTACTCCACTCCGCTGTTTTGCTCGTCTTTCTCTCCATTCCTTTTCCTCCCTCCCAGAGATGACCAAGTTATCTTCACACAGAACTACTCTCGTCTCTTCTCTCTCCATTCCAACCATTTCTTTATTGACTTCTACTTGTTCTCCCATCCATCCTTTCCATCTCCAGGCTTTTAGAGTGAATGATACAGATAGATGCTCTCTGCACCCTTTCACAAAGCTCTCACACACAATCAACAGCTCCTGCACTCAGCAGTCTCATCTCCTCCACCCCCACCCCCACCTCTCTCTCTTTCTCTCTCACTCACACACACACACACACTATCAACTATTGCGCAGATCGCTTTGCACCTGGTCCATCTAGGACTGGAGAGGTGCAGGTTGATACAATGGGGGCAGCAAAACACTTCACTTGTTTTCATGAGCACTATAGGGGATACAGTGGGTACGGAAAGTATTCAGACCCCCTTAAATTTTTCACTCTTTGTTATATTGCAGCCATATGCTAAAATCATTTAGGTTCATTTTTTTCCTCAATGTACACACAGCACCCATATTGACATTTTTGCAGATTTATTAAAAAAGAAAAACTGAAATATCACATGGTCATAAGTATTCAGACCCTTTGCTGTGACACTCATATTTAACTTAGGTGCTGTCCATTTCTTCTGATCATCCCTGAGATGGTTCTACACCTTCATTTGAGTCCAGCTGTGTTTGATTATACTGATTGGACGTGATTAGGAAAAGCCACACACCTGTCTATATAAGACCCTACAGCTCACACTGCATGTCAGAGCAAATGAGAATCATGAGGTCAAAGGAACTGCCTGAAGAGCTCACAGACAGAATTGTGGCAAGGCACAGATCTGGCCAAGGTTACAAAAAAAAATTCTGCTGCACTTAAGGTTCCTAAGAGCACAGTGGCCTCCATAATCCTTAAATGGAAGACGTTTGGGACGACCAGAACCCTTCCTAGAGCTGGCCGTCCGGCCAAACTGAGCTATCGGGGGAGAAGAGCCTTGGTGAGAGAGGTACAGAAGAACCCAAAGATGACTGTGGCTGAACTCCAGAGATGCAGTCGGGAGATGGGAGAAAGTTGTAAAAAGTCAACCATCACTGCAGCCCTCCACCAGTCAGGGCTTTATGGCAGAGTGGCC